TGATGCACAGCCTGCCCCGGCTGGAGCAGCTGAGCGCGGGGGGCTGAGCTGGGCTCAGATTAACCACCCCCCCGCCAAAGCGCTAACAGCAGTGCAGTAAGGCAAAAGTTTTAATTGTCCAGAAAGAAAGAAGAGCTGTTTACACAACTGCCTGGGCACGTCGGTCTCCCAGCTGCTCTGTACCAGGCTGTTTGGTTTTGGTGTCGTCACGTTCCCAGTTCTTCAGCTTTTTCTCGGGATTGGCTTTTTTTTTTCACACCATGGTTACTGCTTCCCCGTGCCACCACACAACCAATGGAGCAAGAAGCCAGGCTGTGGCTTCGCCCCGGTGGGTCACATTCAGGGGGACAGCAGCTCTGAGCAGAGAGGGCAGCCATGGGGGAACCCAGGCGTAGGGCTCTGTCGGAGCTCTCCGCACACAGCCACGAGAGACCATCGCTGCACTGGCACGAGGGTAACACGGGGAAGTGCATATCCCATAGTGTGAAGCTGCTGTGGAACACCTGGAGCCCAACAACTCCACAACAGCGATGGCTGAGGCTCCTTCTGGATTTGGTCTGGGGCCTTACAGGGGAGATTTTGACACCTCCTGGTCCCTGGCCCCGGGCAGGCAGCTTCCTCCTTCCACACCCAGGCAGCTGCCCAAGTGATCACAAGAAGATAGTGTGAGCCCTGCAGTGCCACGCTGTGTTACCCTACACAAACAAGGAGCAGCAGGAGTTCCAGTTCTTACTAGTGTTTTGAGAGCCAAGATTATTACCTGTGGCAGCAGCTTCAGCTGGCCTTCCCACAGGCCATTCGTCCCTGGTCACCCATTTGTTTCACAAGCACCCACGGTGCCTGGGCACATGTGATTTTTCCAGATCTCACAACAGCAGGAGAACCAAGAAGGAGCATCTGCAGCCAGGGCTGAGGCACCGGGCACCCAGAGATTGCCTTGTGCCAAGCAGGAGCATTACTGGTCAAAGCAGTGAAGGGGAAATTTCCAGGAGAAGCAAACATCTCTGAGAAGCAGTGATTAAACAGTTTATGGTCTGAGCTCTCTCTAGGCCTGAGATTCAGCCCTGGTTTTAGCCCAGACACTTTCTCCAGTTCCTGCTGGACTGCCCAGAGTGATGGCTGAGGTTGCAGTGAAAAGCACAGCTGAGGGAAGAAGGGAGATGCTCCAACAGAGGCACTGCAGCTCCTGCTTGTAGCTCTTAGTCCCTGCACTGAGCCTGCAGCTCAGGAGGGTATTCCCAGAAGAACCTCAGCCCTTTCTTTCAGTAGGTATCATTCCCAAAGTCAGACCTCATTCAGGGAACCTTCCCCACCCACCCCACATACCCCAAGCTCTGCATGTTCCTTAGAGTGGTCCGTGTCCCAGGGAACGGTGGGCACAATCCTTATTTCAAAACAAGCATGGCCTCTGTCCCATCTTGCTTTGTCAAATGCAGTCCATGAGTGAGGTAGTACTCCCGCCGGAGGAAGGCATAGAAATAATCCGAGACGAGCAGGATCTGCAGAAGTGAGATGTTCAGACACATCAGTGATGCTTCAGAACAAGGAACAGAGGGATAGAGAGACATTGTTTGTGACAGACCCTGAAGGAGTTTGAGAAGTCCTTAGACTGCTCATCACGCTTTGCGAGAGGAGACACTGTGGTCCTGTGAACACTCCTTGTCCACTGCCTTGCAGTATTACGCCAAGGGAGACTTAAACCGATCTATTTGTTGCGCTACCAGCACGTTGTCACAGACAACTCTGCTGAGGAGACAGTAGCTCCATAAACTGGCCAAAATATACGACAGTGGCAAGTCCATCCGCTTTACAGACCATCTCAGCCTCACCCACAGGCCTCCTCCTACACAAGCATGGTCATGCAGTTCAACCCAAATGCCGGAAGCCTCCTGCTGCTGATAGCTATTAAGCACTTCTCAACTGCGATGACTGTTTTTCAACCACCATTTCTACTCAGAAGGGGGAAG